ATCCTGTCACAGTCTATTCCTTAGAGGAATTCCAGGGCCTTTAACAGAGCAAACATGAGGCTCTCAAGCCAGTGCATAACTGTCGGTCTCCAACCCCATATGCCTCCATGTGGCAGCCTGGGTTTCGCACTGCCCCTCTCTTCTCACAGCTGGTGTCCTAAGTGTGGAGAAGGACCAAGGGGAAAGGACGGAAAGTTGGCAGACTCTCTAGTCTTCCAGTTCTCTTTTGCTCGCTATTTTGACTGTGGTCGGATTGAGAGCCTATTACCTTGCAGGGAACCAGCTGCCTCGGTTTCTAGGAGCTCAGAGAGGCTAGGAAAGAATATTTGTGCCTTTCTTTACTGAAGAGCTACCTGTCAGCCCCCAAGGATGACTCAGGAGGTTAGTCCCCTAGCTCAGGGTTGTACCTGAACTCTGATGGGGGCATTAAAACTGACCTATGGGAGATAGACAGAAAATCCACCCTCTCCACTCTGGAGGAGAAGAGGCCAACAGCCAGGTGATGCTGAGAACCCTTGGAAGGTGACAGACAGAGGCCTCAAGGCTGTGCCCCCACAAGCAGGGCTTCTCGGTGAGCGTGGCTGCTTTCCAGAAATGGATGTTCAGAGGAGAGAACACAACCCCTGAAACCTGAGATTAATCATCACTGGGAATTATTCACTCTATATTTCGTTTTATCTCATATCGGCTCCAGAACTTGTTTTCAAGGGTCAGCAAAACCATGTGCAGCCTGGAGAGAGGGTGGGGTTGGTGGGATGCAGAGGGAGGTATGAGCCTTGGAACTTCCATGTTGAAAGTGAATAAATTAAAGGAAACATTGCTCTTACTCTCCCCTGCCCTTCCCAGCAGGTCTTCTATCCAGCTTTCGGAAGCCTGCATCCTTCTCCTCAGAAGACCCCAGCAGAGGCGGGGAGCTGGGAAGGGTTGGTGGGTGGATGGCGAGGGTGACCACAGCTCTGCCTGCAGCAAGAGAAGTGCTGAGGAGGGTTTTGAACCCCTTCTCTATTTCCTTCCCCCACCTTTTTTGTTCTATTTGGCAGGGGTGGGGTGGGTGGATGAGGCAGGCTGGAGGGATGGGGGAGGGGAGAGGGAAGAGCACTGAAAGCAGGGAGGGGAAAGAATTTGGCACATCACATGCAATGTGAGCTGCTCTCTCTCTCGTTCATTTAAAATTTAGGTCAAAGTGAAAAAAATTTAGGTCAAAATAGAAATATACATATTTTGTGGTTTCATAAAACTTCATTTACTGTATCTTTAAAGACAGTAGAAGTAACAACAATATACGTAAAAGTAGTGATTTAGTGACTAGAAGCAAGACAAAGCGAGAGAATTGTAGAACCAGTGTCCAGCTCAGCAACCCCCTTTCTTTCCTCCAGTCCCCAAGCTGTACTCACATTCTGGCAGAACATATGCGTCACCCTGCCACGTGAAGAAACACGAGCAGGGGAGGTGTTGGCGGAGAACAAAATGGGCCTGCAAATGGCGAAGGGGCTAAGAAAGCTGCAGTGACCACTGTGTCACGTGACCCACTGCAGACAAGAAGCTTCTCCTAACTATGCACATTCTCTTTCTTGCTTTGACAGGTATATAGGTGCATATGTTAACCAGTCCCTTCTCTCTCCTTTCTCACCGCTCCCTTCCAATGCAAAGTGGTTAACCCTGTAATGTGGCATGTAAGTCGCAGGGTAGCAGAGGAATGTTGCATCTGAAGTAGGAGTGGGTGTTCCTGGAGATTAAGTGACACATGGGATGCTGTCTTTCTTTTCAGGGGCAGGTGAGATCACCCTCAGTTGTATAACAGCCAGTTATGTCACGTTAGGAATGAAGCGGTGCTCTTTTTTTTTGAAGTTCTACTCTGGGGTAAGAAGAAAGGACTGGACTCACCTGTTGATGCTCAGCTCAGCATTGTTACCGCCCTAAGACCTCCTCTGTGATACAGAGGAGAAGGCAGGAACCACTTGCAATCCTGTTTCCTGTAAGGCTCTGGCTAGAGCTTGTCCACAAGTGGTTTGTGGAAAAGGCAAAGTCATTCTCCAGAAACCTTTGCCGTCAGGTGTGCAGGCAGCTGCGGCTTCCCCGTGAGCTCCTGAGAACCACCTGCCTCACTGCTGCAGCCTGAGATGTCAGCTTCTCAGAGACCCAAGAATGCCAGCAGTTACCTGCCATGGCCTCCCTAACCTTTCTTCTTTCTGCTCTTGCAAAGTTTTTGTAAGACTCTCATGTCTATATGAGATCCTTAACTTTGAACTAAGATTTTAATATACATTTCAGAAATATAAGAAGTGTTTCTGGCTTTGGTTTTTCCCTGATGAACCTTCGTTCCAGGGCTGAATGTCCCGGCACGGGGGCTGGGGGTTGGCATTTGTCTCTCACACCTGCCGACAGCACCAGGCTTCTGACGGGCTGGGACTTTTCAACACTCTGCACAGCACTGTTTGTGGCAGCGAATTCCGTCCAAGTGCCAAGGGAGATATGGCCAGTGGGAGAACAAGACAGTGGTCTGGACTGTGTCACCACAGCTGCTGTGTCGGTCTGGTGACAGGGGAGGGTCAGCCTGGAGTCCCCTGCTGTTGATTGTAGTGGCTGTCATGTGGGGGACCCCGGCTGGCAGTGCCAAATCTGCTTACAGGCAGCTCCGAGTCTGGACAGCTGGAAGCCCTGAGTGAGCCCCTCTGGCTGCTCGAGGAACTTCTCTTCAGGTAGGGATCCTGCTTCTGTGCTGGGTGCCCAGGTTGTCCCACACTGGGTTCAGACCTGGGTGGGCCTGTCTGCTGGCTGGCCGAATGTGTGAATGTGTGTGCCAGGAACCTCTGGCACAGAGTGAGGGCTCCCTGGAAGTGGTCAAGAGCATGGACTCTGGGGATCAGCTGTTGACATGTGACTCCTGCCTCACTGCTTACCAGCTGCACGACATTGGGCAAGTTTCTCAGCCTTTTGGCCCTTAGTTTGCTCATCTGTACCATGAAGATATCAGCAATACCGCCCTCACAGCGATGTTAATTTACGTTAAATGTTTAGAACAGTGTCTTTCTCGTAGTAAGTGCTATGTGAGAATGAGCATTCTTATGATGACACTAAGGAAGGACAAGTTTGTGTCACAGTGGAATCTTCAGGCAAGAGAGGGCAGTGACCTTCAGGTCAGCCTCCCTGGTCCAGGCTGCTGTGGGGAGCGGGGAAGCCGCCAGTGGAAACCGAGAGAGAGGCTCTCACAAACACACTGGGCAACAGTGGGGGCCTGTGTCGGCGTCATGACAGAACAGGGGGAAGGGGAGGCAATCTCCCCCTCGGCAGAGAACACAGCCCAGCAGGGCAGCAGGAGTTAGCGGAAAGGTGGCAGTGCCCGGCCGGGGGACAAGTGCCTGGGACCTGGCTGGGCTTGCTCCGGGCTGCATGCCAGACACCCTCGAGATGGCCCAAAATAGCTGAGAGGGACTTTGCAAGGGTTGGAAGATCCCATTTTACCAGGAGGTGTAAGAGTCTTCAGAGCTGCGTTAGACTTACATCTGATGCCAGTCCCTTGGGTGAAAAGCAACCAAGGGCTCTGGTGACAGACAGACCTAGTTTGAGTCCCACCTCTGCCACTTACTGCACCGCACACACTCGGAGGGCATGGGCCACCTAAGTCATTGTGGAGTGTGCAGAAGGGTGCAGTACATGCATGAATGGACTGAATGTCCTGGAACCTCAGTTTCCCCATCTGTAAGATGGCGAGAGTGTAATGATCAGGGAAGTGATGCAAGGATTACATTAGACAATTGCCCTCAGGAGCCAAAAGTTCCTACTGAACATATGTTACTTCTTCTTTATAGTAAATATTAAGTGTCTTGCTTAAAATAGAAACCCAATACATTCACTGACCGGAACAGATAATGTGGTTTTAGGGCAGTATATGTAGTCCATTCTAAACTTGCCAAAGACTACAACCTTTAGGGGAAAAGATCATACCTCTTACAGGGGTTTTCCCAATTTGATCAGTGCTTTTAAGTGTCATATATGACTCAGTCCTTTCTGACGAAAATCGAAATATAGCTATGAGCTATTGATAAGTGCCACTGAATTTTAGGAGAGTAAAAGATTCAAGGTAGGTTACTAAATAATTGAAACAGATTATGACCTGACTTGGAAAAACTACGATACCAGGGAAAAGTGGACTTGGACGCAAGAATTCACAGTGTGTTCACACTGCACATTATTATTAGGCTTTTTCTTTCCATGCACATTCAGCGTGCTTTCTGACCAAACCTGTTCAAGCCAGCTTGGAATAATGGAGCTGTTACTTGCTTTCATGCCCACGGCAGGTCCTCAGGAAATGACTGAATGATGGATGGGAAAGGGCCTGTTTCACGTTTGGTCCTCTTTGTCTACCTTACTCCATCCATTCAAGCCTCCATGTTGTGCCGCTGGAAGCCAGGTACCGAAACTTACTGAATCTGACCTCATGTTTAAATCCATCCTCAAACCAGCTTGCTCTAGTTTGCAGGTGGATCCACCCCTTTCCTGTGTTGCAAAATGCATAGGCTTTGTTGTTGCTGTTTTCTTCAGGATCAGAATAGTTTTTGGTTGGCTTCTGGAGGGGAGAAATTATATTCTGGATGATTGAAATTGCTGGCTATTTAACTGCCAGAGAGGATGAGTAGGTTGACTTTTTTGAAGGCAAACAAAACAAGTATCAAATGTACCGTTATGGCCTCAATAAGACTTGATTATGTATCACTACCTATTAATTGAACCAAAGTGTTTACTTTTACAACTGTTTTATAAGGCATGGTGTATACATAAGAATGAAATCACTGCTTGGGAAGTTTCTTCATTTCTGACATCCTTCAGTTCTGTTTCAAGATCAGAGGGGGCATCCCACTCTGCAGAAAATATTATTTATTGATGTGGGATAAATTAGCTCTAAGAACAAGCCAGGGCTACTTAATATGAGCAGTACTGAGGATATCCAGTGAATGGCTTGAATAACAAAACATATCAAAATGTGAATCACCGGTGTCAGACGCAAGCTTTTAAGAACTTTAATTGATATAATCATAATTAGTATGCAGTATGTCTTACAACAAATGTAGATACAGTGACAGCAAATATCAAAGGAGTTGCACGTCTTTCCATCTTTAAATGAGGTTGGCTAACTCACTCCAAGAAAGCAATCTGTCATTGGTCTCTTGGTTAGCATTGGTCTCATAGTTAGCGCTATTACCAAAATCAACTAGCACTTTAAAATCAAAGTTGAAATGGTACATTCATTTGCCAAAATAGAGGTAAAAGGCAAAGAAGGTGAATCAACGTGCAAATCAGCATCTGGCCCAGTTGCAAAATTCGTTTCCCAGATGCGAGGGATTGAACCATGCACCCTTGCAAGCAAGAGGAAGGGCAAACGGATGACATCAAACCAAAATCAACTCCACAAAGAACTCAGAAGACTTTGGGGTGGTCAAGGCCAGTTTACTGCTCTTAGTGCTCAAGTGTCCATGTATTACCCTAACTCAATAGTCTGTGAGACCTGTGTCCTGGGCCATCCTTTCACTCAAGGATGGAAACCATCCTTTGTGGTCCCAGGAGGTCAGCCAGTGGCACTGGGGGGTAGCCCGGAGCTGGAACAGCTGTCTGATGGAGCTACCATACAGCTGTCGTTCTATAGATTTAAGTAAAAACAACACAGCAGTATAACAACAAACAAGAAACTGAGATCACTCGTACACCTGTGTAATACTTAAAATGTCTATAAATATTTTTCTCCAGAAACTGAAAACATAGTAGACATGATTTCATGAATCCTCACAACCCATTTGTGAGGTAGCAGGGGGTGAGGTCAATATGACAGCATCACGCCTGCCTAAGAAATGAAGACACAGACATCCAGGGAGGGCAGGAGACTCTGTCGGGGCCGTGGTGAAAGTAAACAAAGTTGAGCCCCACTCTGTCAACATTTGCAATCCATGGTCGAGAAGAGGCTGCTGGCCTCCCTCCTGCTCTGACATTCTCTCTGACGCTTTAGGACTAGTCCTGTCCCTGGATGGTGTCTGGTTGTTTTCAATCCCCTGGAGCCGTTTCCGTCGGGTAGACTTGAACAGACTCGCTCCTTGAGGTAAAGGACGTCAGTTATTAGCATACATTTCAGATGTGTGTATATGTGTGTGTGTGTGTTAAGCAATATTTCTTGAATGCAGTTAAATTTCTTGGCCAACTCAAGAACAGGAAAAAATGCCACTTGGCAAAATAAGGTTCAACCCATTGATATTTGATACTAACATAACAAGGAGTGTTAAGAGTTTTTATGGGAAACTGTCACCTGGCTGAATGCATCTGCTGTAGGTCCAAGTCCCTTTCTTCACCATAAGGACCTGGAAGTTAATAAGAATGACCAGTCCATCAAGGACTCTTGTACAACAGGAGCCTTTGATAAGGAAGATGTTTGCTGAGTCCATGATTTATAATCGGTCGGAATTCCCTGGGGAGAGGCTGGTCCCTCTGACACAGTACTTATGACAGAGCAACATCCAGGTCTCACCTCTGCAAAAGTGTCTCATGGACATTTTGTCAACATGTTTGTGACCAAGGGAGAAAAAAATATATGGAATGTCCTGTTTTTATTGAATTGTCCTTTGCCAAACCTAAAGCTTATAAAGGGGGTGAAGGTCGGGAAGGGGGCCAATTATTCAGGCCAAGCATGGTCAGAAGGGGCACCCTTGGTCATTCCTGGCCATTTTTCTGACAATATCCTTTATTTAAAAAAAGATGATCACAGATATGAGAATTCCTGGAAGCCTACTTCTCAGTCTTCACTCCTGCTGTAAAACAACTCTGGGGATTGCTCATTCCCCTTTGGTACCTAAGGAGTTTAGGAATAATTTCCTTCAGAGTGTGGGAGTGGTAGGTTGCGGAAAGTGGCATCGGTCCTGGTGTCTCTGACACCAGAAAGGTTTAGAACAGCATGGCAGCAGCCGTTTTCATGTCAGTCCTTTACTCCACAGTGAGTGACAGGAGGAGTTGAAGGTCAAGTTTCTGGAAACTAAACAGAGTCACAGCAACAGGGCCAAGTTTAGAAATAAAATAATGCAACTTTAAGTTCTTTATGATATTGTGGGAGCATATAACACATTTGGAGACAGACGCCAATGTATGTTTTTCTACTCCATGAAATCAGGACAGAAGATGCCAATTACTAATGTTCTGTGTTACAAGAGGACAGAGTTATAGCCATGAAATAAAGCTATCTAGAAAATACATAGAAATCAAAAGGCAAGCATGCATAGCAAAAACAACCCATCAGCCAACAAATGAAACACTTTTCAGATATAACCAATAATCAACCAATTATTTCATTTAGTTAAAAATAAACTCACTAACCTGGGAGGGTCTGGTTTTGTCACAATGGGCATTGAAATAAATCAGGGTTCCTCAAACTCGGCACTATTGACATTTCAGGCCAGATAATTCTTAGTTGTGATGGGCCATCCTGTACCTCATGGGATGTTTAGCACATCCATGACCTTCACTCACTACTAGCACCCGTCAGTTGTGACACCCAAAAATATCACCAGAAACTTTCAAATGTCCTCTCTGCTGCTGGAGAACCACAGCCGTAAATGGATGCCCGCAAAGATGATCAGTTCCTTTTCAAAATTTGTGATGCAGGATTTTATGTCTCTGTACCGACGGGTGTTCACTTGTTAAAGGGCACGATTAGTAAGGCAGGGTTAAGGGAAGAATAAATGGATTAATCCCCATGTCTGTTTCCTATGGAAATGCCTCACCGAGCAATTGCAGGTAGACTAGTGCCCTTAAAAAATTTCTTTAAAAAATAGTTTACAGACGTTATCCAACAGACAGTAAGGCAGTGAACCAGTTGCTCTGTGGGTCGAAAGCAAGGATTCTACAGGCTCCTCCAAGCAGTGCATGTCCCCGCTGGGTATTGAGGGCTGAGTCCCACTTCCCCGAATGAGGCGCTCAATGCATATGGGGCCCTCCCTTCTCTCCCACCCTCCTCCACGCCCCCCATTACACTCACTCCACACATCTCTCTCTTTCTTTTCCATAACTAAACTCATCTCACAGCCTTCTCCTGTGGAACCACAACTCCCTAAAGGTGTGTGGGCTGGGGTCGCAGCTGCAATTGACCAGAATGGGCATCCTTAGCAGAGACAGGTGCCCTGGAGGGGAGGACATGTTGAGGGCACGCTGAAATCTGACAGCAGCCTGCTACTCTGACTCCCTCGGGCACCTCGGTTTTCCTCCTTCCTTAATTAGGCGGCTGAGAAGCTAGGATCCAGCTTGCAGAGCTGAACAGGCTTCCTGTCAGACACAACCAGGTGAAGAGAGATTAAAAAGGAATCCTGCATCCTCACCTGCAGGGCGGACTCCTCCCACTGAGATTTAATGTAATTTCCCAAAGAAAAGTTTGTGAAATACCACAAACGGCAAGTTCCCCTAAAAGTAACCTCTGATGACACAGCCTGACCCCTCTTCTCAGTTCTTCTTGCCGTGGGTCCTGTCCTGGGTACAGACACCTCCATCGTGGTGGTGTCCAGCCTGGAGGGCTCAAGGTTGGCCCATGTCAGTTGCAAATCAGCCTCCACTCACTTTTAATTTTTTTTTTTTTTTTTTTGGTACCAGAAAGGGTGAGTTGTAGCAGCCAGAGGAGAGGGAGGAAAACAAAACAACCAAACCAACACAACAAGGCTGAAGATTGTCGCTCAGTGAGCATCAGGTTCTTGTAATTAATTCTACTGGATAAGCACTGATAAATAAAGACAGTTGCTCCTCATCCTGTGCCATGTTCCTTTGTTAGGAGTCGTCGTACAGAGGGTTGTTGTAGTTTCCCCAGGACCCGTAGTCGTGATCATCCAAGAGCCTTCCGTAGGAGGAGTGCCTGGGGTGGGAGAAGACAGGGTTGTGGTTATTTGGAGAAGGTGCCCATCTGTGGGCAGCCTCGTGCCCTGGGGCCCGCTAGAGGGGACACAGTTCTTCACTAGGACGACCTCTGGGCAGCAGCCCCACTGAGCGTGGAGGCCCCAGGCTGCAAACGCCCTGAGTTACGACTGAGCCTCTGGGAGCCTGACTGGCGCCTTCTGGTGAGATCAGCGGGGTGCTTGTCTCTCACTGACCTCCAGCGCTGGAGCAGGAAGAGGCTTCGTTTCCATGGCTATTTAATAAGAAGTAATGGGAAAGAGAAGGCTGCATGCCTGGCATTTTGGCTTAGGTCCTGGACTTGATTTTCCCTGAAATGATAATAACACAAGCAGAATGGCTGTTGCTTACACCACCTCTCCTGACCTCTGTATAATGTTTTACAATCTGCAAAGTTCTTCTATATTCCGTATTTGCTGGATCCTCAGAATAGAGCCATGGGCCAGGTACTGTTTATTTTGATTTCTCCAATGAGAAAAATAGGGCTCAGGGATGTTGACTGACATGCCCAAAGTTTGCCCAGCTGAGCTATGAGTTGAACCCTCACTTCTGGGGTCTGAATCCAGTGCTCGGAGCTCAGCTTCCCCGAGTCTGGTTAGTGCCTTAGCTCAAAGGCAGTATGGCTTTATGAGGCTTTGCTGGGTCATTTGTGGAACCTGTTCCACAATTAATATTATTTCTATAAGAAAGTGAAGTCAGATTGTTACTCTTTTGTTCAGAACCCTTGAGTAGTTCCTCATCTCACACAGAGTAAAGCCACAGTCACTAGGATGGTTTCCAAAGCCCTATAGGATGTGACCCCTGTTACTTTCTGTTTTTTAACTTTTTTTTATTGAGTTAAAGTCATTTTACAATGTTGTGTCAAATTCCAGTGTAGAGCACAATTTTTCAGTTATACATGAACATATATATATTCATTATCACATTTTTTTTCACTGTGAGCTACCACAAGATCCTATATATATTTCCCTGTGCTATACAGCATACTCTTGTTTATCTATTCTACATTTTGAACTCCCAGTCTGTCCCTTCCCACCCCCCTCCGCCTTGGCAACCACAAGTTTGTATTCTATTTCTGTGAGTCTGTTTCTGTTTTGTATTTATGTTTTTTTTTTTTTAAGATTCCACATATGAGCGATCTCATACGGTATTTTTCTTTCTCTTTCTGGCTTACTTGACTTAGAATGACATTCTCCAGGGACATCCATGTTGCTGCAAATGGCGTTATGTTGTCGGTTTTTATGGCTGAATAGTATTCCATTGTATAAATATACCACATCTTCTTTATCCAGTCTGACCCCTGTTACTTTCTGAGCACGTCGGCTACTAATCCAGTGCTTCTTGCTCTCTTGGATCCAACTACACTGGCCTCCTACTCTTTCCCCTCATGCCTGACACACTCTTGCCCTAGGGCCTTTGCACTTACTGTTCCCTCAGTTTGGGACAACTGTCCTCCAGCTCTCCACAGAGCTCATCCCCTCCTAGCCCTCAAGTCTCCACAGATGTCACCTTCTCAGTGAGGCCTTCCTTAAGAACTCTATTTAAACTTGAACTCCCACCCCAAAGCACTTCCTGCTTAATTTCTCTCATAGTACACACCACCTTCTAACACACTATATTATTTACTTATTTATTTTGTTATTGCTTCTCTCCCCTAACTAGATGGAATGTGTGGATTATTTGCCTGCTGTGTTTGTTCGTAGCTCTGTCTCTAGCACCTAGAAGAAGATCTGGCATGTAGTAAGTCCTCAATAAGTATTTCTGGAAAAAAACAGTAATGGGGAAAAAAAATCCTGAAAAGCCAATCTTTTCACGAGATGGGAGCCTTCTGGAAGGGATTAGGGTCATTTTAAGCTTAAAACTCATGGCAGGATTGGGAGAACAGCATAGAACGAGCACCTAGTGCCTCTGAGGTTCACACTGGCTAGTGAATTTCTACACCTTGTCACAGGGAGTCAGGTATGCTATATACAGGACAGATATAAACATACCCACTTCCCCTAATGTTTTCTTACCTACATATGAAAATTAAACAAGATGAAAACACAACTTGAGAGGCACAAAAAGCATTTGTTAGATATTCTCTTCAATTTCTTTCTTTTTTTTTTTGTTTTTTTGCTATATAGTTCTGTGTGTTGCTAAAGTAATTACTGTCACTCTTCTGAAGTGTATTTACATCTGTCAGGTATCTGAAAAGAGATGATCTGTTGAAAAGCATCAGACCTTTGATGTGCTGGCTTTAGATTTTAAGCCTTCAAATTTCTGATTTCTGTCCTGAAGACTGGCTCAGTGGACCCAGTCTATACACCTGGGAACTTGAGGATGTCCCACAATATACTCTGTTTTCCCTAAAGGCCCACATCCGTTTCTGTGGGTGTGAGGAGGATCGAGGTCACAAATAACACACCACTGATCTTCTGATCAGCAGGAATAGTGGAGGCCAGTTCTGGTAAATTAATCACTGCCCATTCACTGCCAACACTCCCTCCACTCTTAAAACCTCTAGTTCCAATCAAATCCTTTAACAGGAAGGTTGAGAAATGGAAGCTATAGAATAAACAAGTAAAAACCTAGGGATTACAAGACTGGAGCTCAGCCTCAATTTCAGCATGACTTACTGTGGCGAGCCTGGCCAGCCTCATAAACGTGTTCCTGTATTGACAGGACACTCCTGCCTCACCTTGGTGTGGTAATTTAACTTCTCACATCGTTTTTATATCTATCATATAATTTTATTCCCACAAAATGTCAGTTGGGCCTATAGATATATGTCCTTGAATATACTTTTAACCCCCTGCTTTTTCATCTATAAGACAAATGAACAAAAAATTGCTTTAGGATTGTTGGATGGATTAAATGAGGTAATGCGTATAAAAGACCTGGCACATAGTGAATGCACAACAAATGTTGGCCAACATTGCTTTTTAATTTTTATTAGAATGAAACTTACACAAGCACATGGCAGATTTGCAAATAACAAAGAAGGCTACTCAGCGAGAAGTGAGTATAATTTAAAAAATGATTATCATGCCAGAGTGGGGTTAGAGGATTAAAAATCTTCCCGTCATCAGGTTTTACTGCTTATGGTTATTGTGGGCAAGACTATTTGATCAGGGCTGTACCTGGATCTGCTGTAGTATAAGAGATGTAGTGTCCACTACACAAGCACTCGTAAGATGAAGGAAGAAGATGGACCTTTTGGTTTTCTTTGCCTTCTCATTTGAATGAAGAGCGAGCTGAGCAAAATACTAATAAATGAAGAAAACAAAGCAAGAGCTATAGATAAACCAAACTGGGGAAGGCACTGAACCCATAGGCCTTGTTTTAACAGATTAACAAGCCTCAACAAGAAGAATGGGCTGTGCTGGGATTCAAGCCAGGTTTGGGTAAATCCTGCAATACTCTAGAAAGAGCAAGACAGACATACTTTGTATGTGTGTGCTGGGGGGGGGGGGTAAAGAGAGAATGATTAATGATCACTTTAAACTGTCTCTCTAGATCAGAACTTCTTAAATCATGGAATCTTTTAGATGAATATGGGGGAGTTTTTCAGATTGGTATTTGCAGAGTCTAAAGAGGTGAAAAAAACTATTCTAAAGATTAGGAAGATGGAGTTTGGCTCAAAGGAGCTGGAAGACTGTCACTGTGATTTAATGGTAGAGCTGGTACTAAAACTGGGGTCTGCTGGCTTGGTCCTGCAATGCTGCTTCATCTAATTTCAATCCGAATAGCAATGTGTGCAAATGACATCATCATCAGGTCAAAGCAGTTTTGTTTACTCAGTTTCTTCACAAAGACTGGTGCCATCTAGCATAGCTAAGTTTTCCATTTGCTGTGTCTTGGATCCCTTAGATGGTAAACCTCCTGGGCAGACTATGTCTTACTTTGCTTCCAATTTGCTGAGTGTCTGATAGGTTGTTGTTAATGCAATGGTATTTAAAAAAAAATACTTGATGACAAATGCTTACATCCAGTAGCATAAAAAACAGTACACAGAGTAAAACACTGAGTATACTTGGTCAATACCAGCGGGGATTAGTATGGACTGTGGCAGTTCACAGTGAACTATAATTGTGGCAAAGTGAAAATACTGTATTAAAGAACAGAAAGGGCCAAAGCCACCATTTTCATCTTATAGACAGGAAGGAGAAAGAGAATTATAGCTAAGTTTCTCCCATGCGATGACATGGCTTTAAAGCACTCAGCATAGGCTCACAGTCCCTGTAGATCAATGGCACTGTGCTGTCAATGATGTTCTGCTGTGTCGTACAGCTTAGTTAGCTCAAAGCAGAACCCGAGGGGATAAAATAGGCAATGACTGATGTGAAGCCCTTCCCTTATTGCTTTCTTCTCAAGTGGCTTTGCTCTAACAAAGCAACTCTCCCCACTAGCCTCTGCTCCAACTGGTGATGCCTTGTTGGTGACAAACGGTATACGTGGTGGTGACATTTGCGGTTTGAGGCCTTCCCCACAACTGTGAAATGGTACCTATTTTAAGATAATTACAGCATCAGTACTTAACAGAACTCAACTGTCTTTGAAAATGAATGAGGTGTTTTACTTTTTTAATGGTGAAACCAACATATTTCGGAAAGCACCTTCCCCTTTGTCAGGGTCAACCCAAGTTCTCTGTCGAGTCTCCACCTTTGTTTATTGCTACTCCTCCCAAAGTCAAGTGAGTCTTGCCATTCAATCACTAGTGCTTATTATGTGCTAAGAAGGAGAGACATAAAGATGACTAAGATATGGCTTGGTGCTGGGAAAACACAGCTAAACTTGCAGCACGTTAATCATTAGTCATTAAGCCTTAGACTCTTACCATCCATTAGTAAAGCTGGTGTGGAGCAGCTGTCACTGTCTCCCTTGTTTCTGATGGTGACTTTCTTTTCCTCATTGTCATGTCCCTGCCTGGCTTCTTTCATTTATTCATTGAAAAGTTGCCATTGATCAGGCCTTATTCTG